TGTTTAATAACGAAGCACGTGATACTGTTGACTTTTTAAAGTTAATCATACGATGTTTAATATAAACTTAACTGTAGGAGATACCGAGATATAAGTTATGGGCAATTTCGATAATAAAGAAATAAATTATTACTTTACAAAATAACATTGGTTTACAAAACACATAAAAACAAAAGTATTAAAAAAGAAGAAATCAAACTTTTGATGGCTATGTGATAACACTCTGAGGTGCTTTTGATCGATCTCCAGTTAGAAACAATATTAACAACCGTTTTTATGTTTTAAGGTAGTGCTATTATGCAACAAGTGTTAAAAGTTCATTGGATTCTACTCCTGTTTGGATAAGTACCGACATTATACTACAAACGAATGGTATATTAAACTACTAGGGTTAAGGATCAATGGTTTCTACCCCTCATTGAATACCACGTTTCACTTGATAAGGAATGGGCTTGGTAAACACGTGGGAAAGTCTCTAAAAAACGCGATTACCGCCACGCAGGTACAGTAATTGTTACAGAGGAATGCGCAGCTAACCTAAAAGACGCGAGATAGACGACGGAAGTTACAATTAGAAACTTGTCTAGAAGGGTAGTGATAAAAAAAAAGTAACTCTGCAGCTTCGTGCTTCACTGCACGACGGGTTTAAGTACCATGAAGACGTGGCCAGCTAGCTAATAATGACAGGTGTAACATGCAACTGACGGAAAGAGAAAAATAGAAATGGCGTGAAAAAATGAGCGCTATCCAATAAGGACACTGCTTTCAGTAATCTCATTCAGATTATATGAGGTGCTCAAATTAACTTGAGATTTAAAACTGTTTTATAAAAAAAGATATCGTGTGTTTCTTCAAAATACACGGTGGTTTCGCCGTTATTTTAAAACCATAAATACATTTATATCAGTTTCTTGTAGTTAACAAAACTTTAAGGATAATAAAAATGTCCTGTAGCTTAGTATTTGCTGAAGAAGTGAAAATAGAAAAAAAAGGGTTGGGGAATGTTGCAAGTCTCGGCGCTTCCAACCACAAAAAAAAAAACAAAAACATTTTGACTTTTAAAATTTGATTGACATAGCAACTTCATCGGTTAAAGCTTCTGTGAGCAGCCACCCCCACTATTCCCTTCTTCAGAAAATATTTATTTTTGTAACTTAGCTTTCATAAAGTAATTTGTTTGATTTGCATTAGTTTGAAATGAACGAATGCAAGGCTGAAGAAAATATTGTCTATTTAAGGAATCATAGAAGGTTCGAGATGCTCCCTTGCCTTTTCGATATGAGGCGAACGTGTCTTAGTGATTAGCATGTCGGATAGTGGATCTGAGGTTCAGTGGTTCGAGTCCCGTTACCACAAGCACAAAAAAATGCGCTCTGTACTTTTGATTCCATAGGAGCGTTATAAGAGTAACGGACAAGTTTCATTATTCGTTTGAGAAAAGTAGTCCAAGAGTTGGCGGTGGTTGGTGTTTGCTAGCTACCATCCCTCTAGTCCCGAAGTTCCCAAACTGTGGTCCAAGCTCCTAAAATGTGGTTCGCGGAAAGGTTTCATAATTACAGAAATGAAAGGTATGAAGATCCCGGAGCAAATCCGACACTTGAGACCTTAACAATTTATCTATATAATCAGGAAGAATTTGTATAATTTACGTAGAAAAGTCTAAAACTTTATGTTTAATGGCTTTTGAATTGAATTGGGGAAAATGTATTCTTTACTTATGAGTTTTCGCACATTGTAAAATAATGACCTGTTTGCAGGTTTCTCTACGAGAGAAGAAAAGTGCTTATTGGAATAGAACATTAAGGTCAGAGTTTAAAATAATTGCACCATTAAAATTTAGAATTAGAGAACTGGAGAGTATTCAGAACTTGTAAACAAAGAATTTCGTTTTCTAATGCCATTTGCTACTACGCAATTGTGCGAAACGGGATTTTTATCACTTGTGGCCCTTAAGTCTAAAAGCAGAAGCAGGATAAATGATAAACCTGACCTGAGGCTAAAGCTTCGAACATTACAGAATTTTGCTTACAAAAACAGGCGCACCCATCACATTATAAAAAAAAAATAGATGGTTCGTGAACTGCTTTAGTCTATTATTTCAAGATTAGGGTCAACCAGCAGGTAACTCCGTGTAGCTTTGCGCGAAAAGCGAAAATTAACAAACAAGCCTTTTTGATACGTTGTTTTGGGAACACTACATACGTAATGTCAATCGTTGGAGAGTTTTGAATTGTTCAATAACTTCAACAGGCTTCCGCCAAACTTTAAATAAACAGCTATATTTCTTAAGGTGCAAGAAAAAAGTCGGATTATTCTAACGCGCTTGAGTGAAAAGATGACTTCTCTTTTATCTTACACTGTTCTGTTACTAAAGACAACTTTTTATTTATTTTTTGTAAGTAAAACAACCAAACTATAGATTTTAAACATATTTATCAAAACAATAAAACTACAAATTTCAAACATAAAGCTGATTTTATAGTGTAGCTCAGAACGATGTGGATCGTTTGTTTATCCGTAACACTGTGCATTGCCGTAGGAAGCAACTTTGGAGTGGCTAGGCCATAGCCACAGATAAACAATGTGACACGATGTATGCAAAGCACAACTACCAGTGTGTAAAACACGCCATTTTTAGGGGGTTCTGGCGGCATACCCTCCAGAAAATTTAATGCTATGAGACTGAATCTTGAGTCATGTTAACTGCAAATACTGCATACACACAAAATAATGTATTTAATTAAAATAAGCAAGTTTTAATACATAAGTTGTAGCTATACATGCCATGAAAAAGTGGTCAGGTCATGACCTTACCGAATCCGAAGATCCTCTATTGTGAGGTATGACCATGATCTTTTATTACTCCAGTTTCTAGCATTGCATATATGCCTAGCTTACAGTTCTGGAGCTTGCAGGATCAAACTTGGCAGGCGGACTAAGGGGGTGTATATCTATATGGCGTGGACCCCTATGAAGAGGGTACCATGCGAAGTTAAAACGCGACCGGAAGGTTACCCAAGCACTTTTTTTTCTTTTTCGGGTACAGACCTAACCTCTTGGGCTAGCTGTAGAAGAAATTGTAGATACTGGAGAAGGTTGATCGGTATTTTGGGGCTGTTGTGAATCATGAGGAGGCTTTCGAACCTCGCAGCTCCAGATGCTAGTGATGAGAAATACCGGACTGATTCAGAGCACTAAGTTGCAGATATCTTTTTAGAGGGCGCACCGTTAATCCAAAGAAAAGAAAATAACAGCAGCACCAAGTAAAATTTATGTAACACTTGCTAAATTTAAGTAAATGTAAATCAAAAAGGCTAATCGCAGACTTGCGAGACATTTGCTAAAAAAGCATTTCATTTACCTTTAAAGCAGAACTGAAGATCGATATATTTCTTTTTTTCAGATATCTGCGCAAGCTACTAGAAATCTATCTGCTACAGCCGTCCCTATTTTCAAACTGATAATGCATCCAACACACCAAGTACGGAGCGCTTTTTTTTTTCATTTTTCGAGGTAACAAGACGCGACTTGTAGATCCACAGCTAAGTACGCTAACCACTGAGCCAAGTTCGACCGCAGTTTTCAAAGGAAAAACATTTATATCTGTTCATTTTATATATATATACATGTATATGTGTGCGTGTCAAATACTTATAAAATGTGCAAATTGTTGAACAAAGAAACACTTAAGAAACAATACAAACACACACACACAAATATATGAACAGAATGCACAACTTGTTATCACAGACAAAGTCAAGGTCGGTCAATAATACATGTGATCTCTGCCTGAGTTAACATCAACAAGGTGTTTCCTTGAATAAGCTTTGACATCTGTAAATACCCGAGCCACATTTTACGTCCTACTGTGGAAAGAAACTATCCTGCCTAATTACATAATACAATAATAATAACCTATTTTTTAGAACAAAAAAAAAAGAACAATTAGCAATAATCGTTGTTTTATTTCTGTCAGATCACTTCGGACCTGTGTTGGGTATTTTTTGAACCTAAAACGGAAACACTTCAATTAATTTTAAGACTGTCTAGGTTGTATTATGAATTAATATTTCTATGATATAGTCAACTATTACTTCCCTCTTGTCCTGTCCCAAATAAGTCAACTAAATTACTTCCCTCCAGACCCATCATAAACAAGTCAACTTTATTACTTCTCCCGCTCCCTACCCAAAGTAGCCTAAATAACGTTTAAACTGGTATCTTCCAAAACTCAAAATTCCTCCCCCCATCCGTTTGTACCAAACTCTGTTAAATAACTATATATATAACCATTCAAACGCGTGTACTTGTTCTAGAAGTATTATATATTAAAAAGTGCACCGAATTCTGATTCCCTCTCTGTGCTGGTTCTAACTTGTAGAAAGGGGTGTTATATAAAACTGCTGTGTAATCAAGTTCGAAAAAAAAATACAATAAGGTTTACTCATCAACGTGGAAGCGAATTAATCTTTAATTGAAAATGCATTTTATGAAGTAGACAAAAACTCTATTACAACAATAAATCTTGCTTATCTGTAGTTTCTTCAAACGAAACTCTGTTTTACAACAATAAACCTTGCTTATCTGTAGTTTCTTCAAACAAAACTCTGTATTACAACAATAAACCTTGCTTATCTGTAGTTTCTTCACACAAAACATAAGCTCCAGGTATAACGTTTAAGCCTTACTAGGTAGAATCAAATATAAAATAATCACACCAAAGCGTGTAAAAGTTGAACGACCTAACACTACAGAACATATGTTGCAATATATGAAGTTAGGATTTGCGAATTTAAATATTTTAGAAACGACACTAATAAATACAACAAACATTTTTCATATTAAAATGATATCGGCCTCTTTCACGATATCATATTTGTTGGTTTCAGACTGATTAGAAGTTATGCTCGTTTTCAAAACTGTTAATTTTACAATAATCAGAACATTAAGTTTCATCGGTTGGTGACTTTATTAAACAACTATTTTAAGTTCGGTGAAAAGTTAATATACTGGTAAGAAAAACTAATACAAGTTACCGTTGTTTTTCCAAAGACGCAGCTTCGGGTATAGAAGATTCTGAGCGGGACTTCATATTTCTTATCACTACAGCAGGTCGGGGTGGCAGTTTGTCCTCAACGTTAGGAGTCGCGTTCCTTAAACGTCGTTTTTTTCGTAGTTGATATTTTCGAACAAAATCTTCCACCTGAATTGATTATTATTTAAGAGTGATATTCATCGATATAAGTATTTTCTTATCTTATGAAGTTAACTTGTGCAAATAAACTTAATGTGTTAAAATGTGGCTATGAAAGAAAAACAGCATATATAAAAAAATCTTTTTCTCTGTTTGCGATTAAACATTACTTCCTGTCTGAAATAAACAGTAACATTATTTTCTCAAACCTTAAAATAATTTTTATTCCGGTATTATCATAAAAAATATGTTCAGGTTGGTTCTGTTAATCAATTAGTGCAATTATGTGTATGTTTTGTTAACATTCACTGTGGGTGAATAGTTTTATCACGTTAGCGAGAAAAACATTATTATTATTACAACTTAACTATACTAGGTTCATTTGTAAAAGACATAAAAATTTATAACAAAATTAAACTCAAAAACCTGTCTTGTGTTTTATTCCGTTTTTATAATAGTGCAATGAAAACTTAATACATTTAATTTGGCTAATGCTATGAGGTTCGTTAAAGACAATATAAAACAATGAACAATGAAAACTTCTAGACTTTCAATTTTTGGCACTATGCCAATACGTTGAAGGCAAAGTTATTTGTTTTCTGGCGTTTGGCCAACAATCAAATCGGTGGGTCACGAAATTTCTGCGGTGAATGACATGGTTTATATATCTTCATCTAAAGAGATCGCTTCAAAATTAAATGTTAAAATCGCTTTTAATTCAATAACAAAATATGATTTGTTTGAAATACTGTAAAAGTAAGTGTAGAAAAATGATGCATCGAACGCTTAAAAAATGTTAACTTAACGAGACCTTCACAATCCTGTCAATGTCAATTTTTTGTGGTTAAAAAAGTTACGATATAAATCCCTGTCATTGTTATTTGACTGGCAGTGGCAATTTAAACAAGTTGGAAGGGAAGTTATTTAGAATGTTTAACAAGCGGATACGGCCCAGACGACTAGAGCCTTTTCAATGAGATAATAGGGCTAGCTGGTAATGTGTTTATTGCAAAAGGTTACTAAATGACTGGTCCTACATTTTCAGACACCTACCTCGTAGTTCTTCAATCTCTTAGAGAACAGCCGGACGTCTGTTTCTTTTATTTGTAGTACCCGGAGCATAACAAAGAGCACGTGGATACAATGGGGCCCTCGGTCGCACGTGCAAGTCTAGAAAATAATCAATGGTCAAAAATACTAAAACAACTTAAAAAACGTAGAAATGAAGTTTTGAAATCAAGTTGTCAAAGCATTTCAATTGTTGTCGTGCAAACCGTAATTTTTTGTCACGATAGCTATTTTACACCACATGCACAGTTTTCATTTCTTACATTAGTAGAAGCGACAAATTTATCCATCCTAATATTTTTAAGTTATTCAGTGCTGTTCTTCAATTAGTTTGTCTGTATATTAATGACAACTTCATCGTGATATTGTTACTGCGTTGTTCAGTACTGTCCTTCAGTTAGTTCGTCTGTATATTAGTGACAACTTCATCGTGATATTGTTACTGCGTTGTTCAGTACTGTCCTTCAGTTAGTTCGTCTGTATATTAGTGACAACTTCATCGTGATATTGTTACTGCGTTGTTCAGTGCTGTCCTTCAGTTAATTCGTCTGTATATTAGTGATAATTTCATCGTGACATTGTTACTGCGTTGTTCAGTACTGTCCTTCAGTTAGTTCGTCTGTATATTAGTGACAACTTCATCGTGACATTGTTACTGCGTTGTTCAGTACTGTCCTTCAGTTAGTTCGTCTGTATATTAGTGACAACTTCATCGTGACATTGTTACTGCGTTGTTCAGTACTGTCCTTCAGTTAGTTCGTCTGTATA